ATTCTTAAAAAATGACATCTAAAAAATTTGTAGTTTAAATTTTAAAATTTGTAATCTTTTTCCTATCCCCAAATTGTAGTCTCTTTAGTACAAAAAAATTATTAATTAAAATATTATTTAATTAGTTTTATTTATTCTCAACATTCGCAAATACTGATAACAAAAGATAAAAATTAAATCAAAACCATTTCACCATAATTTATAATTTTCGTATTTTTCCTTTTTTGTATTATAAAAATGTCTTTAATTTACAATACATTAAAAATTCATTCTTTTTATCAAACACTTATACAAACACACGTACAATTAAAGTTAGTCTCCAAATAGAGACAATTCTCAGTTAAAGTTGGAGGGCGCTTCATCTGTTGAGGTGCCCAATTAGTTGCCACATGGCTTTTTCTCTTTGGTTTTAGGGTCTTTAAACCAATAGAAAATTGATATGTGTGCACATATTGTAATATTAATAACACGTGAAAATATTTTTTTTGAAAAATTCCAAAATAAAAAACAAATTCTTTTAAAAACAAAATCTGATTTTTAAACATAAAATGGGGAAATTTTTTAAAAAATTAAAAAAAAAAGGAGAATGGAACCACTGAGAAAGACGGAGAATTATTTTTCTTTTTTTAATTTTAATTTTTTAAAATTTTTTACAAAAATTATAATATGCCGTCACATAATAATCAAATGTTATCTACAAATGCAATATTTACAAGTTGAAATTTTATTGATTAATTATTACATCATCAATTTTAACGATATTAGGTCATGGGGTAGATTAATAGATGGATTAAAAGTTAAGGTATTTGATGAGACATTTTTTAATTAATTTAAGTATCAAATTTAACATTTTTCAATAATTCAAGGTCCGTAAAGGACATTATCTCTTATTTAAAATAAATTTTTAAAAAAAGTGTTCATATGTAACGCGATAGACGAATAAATACTATTAATAATAAATATATAATAAAAAATATTAAAGATAATAAAATAGGACATTATTATCTTAAATAAATAAATAAAATATTTTTTAATTTATTTTCAACTGCTGGATTTAGTGGCAAGACAACCTTAAGAAAACATCAAGGCTTGGGTTCAAACCACAGTCTTCTCCCATGTCCCTTAATGTAAGGCTCTCTCCCTCTCTTGAATGACCAAAAAAAAATATTTTTTAGCTTTAGTATATTTCTTTAAACATTTTTCCTATTCTAAACAAACACTTGCAATCCAAATTTTCTATATAGAATTTACTAAAACCATAACAAAATTCTTGAAAGTTACCTTATCACTTGAAGTAAAGATGTGGGAAGGTTGAGCTGCTAAACTGCTGAGGACTCTTTTGTACACCTCAATTCAACCGATCCAGAGATAATTAAGAAAGGAAAATCAATGGTGGAACCTTCAATTATTAGAAACTCCGGCATGTAGAATGAGGAAGTAAAAGAAAATTGAAGAAACAGTTTTTTTTTTTTTTTTAGTTTATAGGGAAATGAAAAAGAACAGATTATAATCAACAAGTAAAAGAAAATTAAAGAGAATAATTTTTTTTTTAGTTAAAATTTTGGAAAAAGGAAGAAGCTAGAAATCATGAAAGAAAATAAATAAGCAGCTTAATTTCTTTTTTATTAAAGTGAAAATAAAAAAATATGATATTTAGCAAGCAAATTTTTTTTTTTTTTTTTTGTTAATTGGAAGAAAAAGGAATGGAAATCAATTAGTAATTAAAGACAATATAAACCAATTGCTGCAGCTTCCCTTTTTTTTTTTTTTTTTTTTCCAAACTAGAAAAGGAAGGGGAAATCATTTAGGAAAGAAAATCATGAGATAAAACAAGCTTCTTTTTTTTTTTTTTTTTCCTTTTGAAGTTATAAAAGAAAAATAAAATAGGAAAGGAAATGCAAATGAGAAGTTGAAGCAAAAACACTTGACTAGAAAAACCAACTTATACTAAAATGTGTAAACCTTGTTATAACATTTAAATAACCAAGTCAATATTACATAGAAGCTTGAGCAAGCAACATGGAGCTTTCTCTTTGATCATCATGAAAAGAAATCAATTCTCTTTTTTTTTTTTTCATTTTCCTCAAGGTATCATCTAATGGATATGATCTTGCAATATTATTTTACTATTTTGTTTTGCTCCTTGATTAATGGTGAGTGGAGGAAATAAAGAATAACAATAGGATATTAATTTCCTTTTAATTTTCAAATTTGTGATTAAAGCCAAATTTTCAAGAAAAAAAAGACATCCACAATAACAAGTTTTGTGGCAAAAGTGCAATAACAAATGGAAAAGGCCTTATTATTCTATAATCTACACCACAATGATAAGTTCAAAAAAAAAAAAAAAAAAAACCCGGAAACTTCCTTGCTATTGTCAGCAGCAGAGTAGCATTCTGCCAAAAGAGATTTATATGAAGAAAGCAATATTTTTTAAAGTTAGACTTCACCATAAATCTTGTTATATATTTATAAAAGAAATTGCATGGCATGGAATCAAGTAATAGCAAATTACTCACAATTCATGAGAATCAAAAGAAGAAAAGAGCTTGCTGTAGCAGGTTGATAGTTCCTGGAAGATATTAGCTTAGAGACCAGAGAAAAAAAAAAGCAATCAAATGTTGAAGAAAGACTGAATAGAACCAGTAATTAATGTTCCTTTTTAATTATTAAGAAATTGAAAAAATAAAAAAGCAATCAAATATTGAAGAAAGACTGAAAATGAAAAACTAGGTTAAGTTCTGAGTTCATGTTTTTTTTCTAATTATTAAGAAAAAATTTTGTTAGCAAATACTATGTAAAATAATATCTTCACCTAATGCATTGAAAATCATGAATAAAGTTTATCAACTGTTGATTTAATACAAAATTATAATTACGAATAATATATTAACTGATCTTAAAGAATGCAACACACATCAGTAAAATCCCTTAAAATTTACGTTGTTCATGTTTTTTTTCTAATTATAAAAAAAATTTAATTTTCTTATCGTTTAGTTTTTTTTAGTGAAATTGGGTTATTTTATTGTAGTGCCTACATTTTTTAAAAATGTTTGTCATATATTTCCTACTTGGCCACGTTGGTTTAGTTTAGAAACTTAATCAATACTGAAACACCCTTCTGAAAGTCCTCAATTGTAATTGAAACATATAAGATTAGAGAAAATTGAATAATGCTTCAGATATTTATTTTTTTGTATATTATATATCTTTTTTATATATCAAAGTGTGAAGACTAAATTCTTAAAGTGAATTACGTACATGTAAAATTTTAAACTAACAAATTTGTCCTTAATATATAGCTAATTTAATTAGTTTTTTTTAAAAATTTGATTTAAATAAACTAAAATTAAAAATAAAATTCATGTGAAATTAAGCTATTTAAGTTTACCCTTATGAATTTTTTAAACTAACAAAATTTTCCCTAAATATATAGCTTTAATTAGTTTTTATTTAAATTTAATTTAAATTAACTAAAATTAAAAATTAACTGAAATTAAGCTACTAGCTGAAATGTTGAGGTAAAAAGGAATTGGCTTCTAAAGAACAAATAGCAAATTATAAGTATTTATCGTTATTTGCTAAGTTATTATGCTTTAATTTTTTCTTTGGTTCTTTTTTACCTTGCTAATCACATAGTCTAGGCATACATTATAAGAGTTTAAAACTAATAGGACTCTGACTAGAATGGAGTTTTTCAATGAATTTTTTGACAAAGTTTCAATGACGTAGACTTAGACTTAGTTTAATATTGTTGTTGTGATTGAAAAAAAAAATTAATTTAAAAAAGAATGTTTAAAAGGATGATGAAAACAATATAATTTAAAATTTTAAATATTTAGTATTGTTGTGATTAATGAAATCTTAATTGTTATTATTAAAACTAAAGTTAGGTTTGAATTCCACCGCATTTTCTATGCAGTACAATTGATGCTCATCACATCATTAGTGGAATTTAAATGTAAACTCTAATGAAGTCCATTTAGTATAAATTTTTCATTGATTTTTTTTTTAATCGTAATTATAGTAATTATAGGGAGTTTAAATCCATTACAAATTATACAAATTCTACCAAAAAAAAAAAAGAAATGATATTATTTGAGTGTATTTAATTTAATGTATTTTAATTGGGTTAAAATCATAATTGAATTCCAAATAATTGAACACAAAACGCAATGTTTATACGAAAAGGGATGATTCAAATCTATTTACTAGCAAAATAAAATTTGCTTACTCGAATCAAAATGCCAATCGAACCTGATTTAACGAATTGAATTGGCTATGAACCAACAATGTAAACTTGAATAAGACCCAATCCCCAAATCATTCCATATATTGTGCTTTGGATTAACTCAAATATCAAATTCGGAAATCACCAGCCTTAATTTGAACCCAATTTTCACCTAGGCATTTTATCCTAGTTTTTGAACTTATATTTCTCCAGTGCACCTCTTTTTGTTATTGAATAAGTTCTATTTAAATAAATAAGTATACTCAAGCAAAAGCCCAAACCTTACATGCAACTTTAATGGCAGGTTAGTACTCATTAATTATAATCGAATTTTGTAATGATTCATAAAAGTCTCTCACGATATGTGATTCTCTTTATTTTTTTTTTGGCCGAAAGATGATTCATAAAGAAACGAAAATTTTGACTCTTGGCTTACTCAAATATGTGGCAAAAAGAAAAAAAAAAGTTACACTATGAGTAAAATTAACCAATAATGAATCTATATATATGATAGAAATTAAATAAAATTACAAAAAATAAAATAAAAAAGCATTGATGAATTTTATATAAGCATCTCGAGATTGGCCTTTCCTTTTATTATTCACACACACACACAAAAAAAAAAAAATCATTTTTACATAATCTATAGATTGTATATCCTTCCCCTCATTATACAAAATATCAATAACGACGTGTTTTTCATTATCAAAACAGCCTAAAATAGCTCTTTGAATTTCCTACGTATAAGGATTGATAAATCAATATTAATCTAAGCATAACCACAATATCCAAACTCACACTTAACCCCCGGCGAGCATTGTTTGTCACACTTGCCACAGTGATTAACATTATAAACAACATCGGTACAAACTCCACCACAGCAACGCTCCCCAAATTTGCATCTATTGCCACATCCTCCACAGTTATTCCAATCACGAAGAACATTGCGACAATGTTTCTTGCAGCAATATAATAAGCTGGTACCATTGTTCGCAGAAATACCATTGCATATGTTGTAATGAGAGTTGATATTGCAATGTGTACCTTTCTTAATTTTATCTTTCTTCATTGTGTGTAATAAGAAACGGCTCCTTGATCGAAAGTTAGGGATAACGAGAGGATGATCTAGCACGTAATCTTCTTCATCATCTTCGATTTCCAATGAGAAGATTGCTTGAGGATGCAAAGATAGGAGGAGTGAAATAGAAAGGGAGAGAATGACTGTGATCTTGAGAATGTTAGTATCCATTCTTTCAAATGGAAGGGATTTTGTGCACAAAAGAGTGTAAGCTAAGGGAAGGTGGAGGCTATTTTAAACTGCAAGTTCGTATAAATTATTCCATAATATAGGGGAAGGGAAGTGCTATTTTCACAAGTTTTAAAGACAAGGCCAAGTTCTTGTTTAATACGTTAATTACGTGCATATAAATTAATAATCGGTGATCTAGCTAGATTCTTGGTGCAACAATTAAATGTTTGACCAATAAAATCAGAAAAATTGGCCTCAATAAATGTACTTTGAATTGATTGTAATATTGATCTGCATCCAACCAATCCTAATTTTAAATGTCCTAATAACTGCAAAATTTCTTTTATCATAAATTATTAAAATATAAATGTATTATATTTCTAAGATCATAAAAATAAATATCCATTCATAAGGGATCATTTTGTGTATTTGTCTGTCTAATATCAATCCCTATTCACCAAGAAAAAAAAAAAGAGAAACAAGTGAACATCTTTTTTAAGTTTTAAATTTCTAAAATCGTTTGCTATTATCCAAAAGTATCTTTCAAATTGTCAAATGAATATTAACTTAGATGACAAGAATGTTGCACGAATTTCTAAAGATTGTATGTTTGATAAGATTTATTTTAGTAATGTCATTGTCACATGAGTTAAGTTGATAGGGATTGAAGGTTAAACTAAATTAATAATTAAAAAATGATACCTTTTAAATTGGGGTCTTATATAAAAAAATAAAAAAAAATCTATTTCTCACAAAAAAAAAAAAAGAAATATATATGCAGAGATATGCTATACTTGTTATATCATATTCTTATCACACTTGTTCCCTCATACTATCCAGTAAGTGTTAATTAAATTAATCATACGCATGCAATGTAACACATATTTTATTATATATGCAACAAAATTACATCAAATATTCCAAAAAAAAAAAAAAGTTGATCAAAATAATTGATGGATGATTGAAGTTATTACATGATACCCACATGAAGAATTGGCAATTCCTGATTGTAAAAATTGAGAAATTAAATTTGTGGTGAAGTAGGACTCTAGCGTTTGAGATAGATAAGAGGATGGTTTTAGTTATTGTTGAAATCTGACAAAAGCAGACAGCTATTGATTAACGGAAAAAAAATGTGAAGAGTGAACCTTAAAGCAGGCAAGAATTGTAGGAGACATGAAATTGTAAGTTGTAACACGTGCAGCTGATCCTCTTTCCCGGCTTGAAATGCGTCCAAACTCATCATCGTCTTCCCACCACGCTTTCACGAAGCAAGCATTAAATTATGGCTCTCTTCCTGCGATTGTCAAGTAAACACGAAAGCACTAATGATATATTTTAAAAGTGATGATATATTTTAAAAGTTATTATACAAATTAATTAAATTAAATTTAAATTTATTTTTTAAAAAAAGCTATTAAATTTTAATTTTGAAATATATTAATGAAATTTATGAAAATAATAAAATAATAACAAAAAAGGATTATGCTCTTATTACATAATTTAATTAGATTTAATAATTTAAAATATAATATGATGATATGATAAAAAAATAGGATACGCAAATGATATAATTTAAAATTGTAATAATAATTATATATAAATTTAATAAAACAAAAATTTTATATTTTATATTTTTATATTGATATAAATTATATCATGTAATTTTTAAATATAATATAATATAAATACATGAATTTTAATATTTTATATAATATAAATATACAAATCGTTATATCTAAATCCAATATATTGTAAAGAAAAATAAAAATGTCAACCAAAAGACCAAATCACTACCACCTAATCACAAAAATTGAGGTTAAAAAATTGGTTGACTTCTTTAATTTGGGACTAATTCCATTTTGGGTTTACACTTTACAGATCACTTTCATATGTTGCCTTGTTCTCTTTCACAAGCATTGGTTTCCCCATTTTTTTTCGACAAGAAAAATAAAGGGATTTTGTTACACGCGTCATCTACACATTAACAATGCCATAAATTCATGGATTTTGTTGTTACTTGTTTCATCAACCATGTTGATTTTCTTTTTAATTCTTCTTAACAATTGGTGCTCTTTAATCCTTTTTAATTTATTTTTGACCGAAAAAATAGAGATAATAAGTTACTTGAACACTTTAGTCGAGAAAAGATGTATCGTATTTTATATAATATTTATTGTTTGAAATTAACACTAACAATAAATCATGAATAAAATTCAATTCAAAATCATTTGCGTCGAGATAAATAATTTACCTTTAATGACCATTAATGACGAACTTTTTTTACAAAATAAATGATAAACAAAAAATTACACTTAAATCAATCCTAGCAAGAATTCCCCGTTATACTTATGTGATAAATATTTTTACAATCTCAAAATTTAACAATAAATATTTTAAGATAACGTTAGGTATCTTTTATAAGATCATCATGTTAATGTAATTATTGAAGTGATTTTATTATTAAAGTGATTTTAACACTCAGTTACTTGAAATTACTTTATTTAGTTAACAATCATTGATTTTTAAGAATTAATGATAATTAAGTTTGGTATTACTAAAAATTAAATATTATTTTGTTTAAAAATATGAAAATAATTATGCATATTGTAATAATTTTAAGATTGTTTAAAAATAATAATTTGTAAAATATAAATAATATTTGTTTATTGTATAATAAAATATAATTAAAATTTAAGTAATAAATATATTTATTGATAAGTAAATTGATTTTTATAATATAAATTATGTAAAAAATATTTGAATTAGAAAAAAAAAACCAATCTATAAATTCATAATAAAAGAAAAATAAAAAATTATATTATATAAATATTAAAAAAAGAGAAAAATGCACAAATTATTTTTAAATTTGTTACAATGAATATTAATTTAAAATTACAAAAATTTATAATATAAAACAATTACAATTTTAAGATGCAATAAGTTTTTAATTTATATCTTAAATAGATAAATAGGATTATTATTAATTCTTTATACTAAATTTACCTCGATGATAAAAATTTTTCATCATTTGATATGAAAATTAAATTATTATCTAAAATAGTAATCTAATTACTTTCAATGATCTAAAATCACTTTCATATAAGATCACTAAATGTTTACTAAATATAAAAATCAAATCATCCTATATAAATCACTATAATTTTTGAAATTGTTATCTCATATTAAGCATTACCTAATTACATTAATAAACCATTCATTAGAGCCCAAACATACGGGACTTACCGTTGAGGATGACAACATGTTGATTGGAAACTTGAAAAGTCAGATTTCAATATAATTGGCCGAAAGCTCTAATTCCAACAAAATACAAGTCCATGATATCTTGCCTACAATTCAGCCGAAAAGATTATTACAACTAGTAAGAGGCAGCAAACAGGTGAGATCTATTTCAAAGTAAAACAACACTAAAATCAAAATTTTTTTTCTTAATCTATTTTAAGTCAAAAGTAGTTAATCAATTCAAAATGAAAAAGCAAAAATGTTATTATTAAGAAAAAAAAAAGTGTGTTTTATATATAAAAACTTTGTTAACGGTAGATGAGATGATTTTTTTTTTTTTAAATAAAATAATTTATTAGTGCTACAAACTAGATCTATCCAATGATCAAGTTATCTGTCTCATCCGACGGACAAAATTTTTTGAACCCGAGTTCTCTCATAATATTATTTAATTAATAAAAAAATTACTTAATTTTAATTTTAAATATATATTTTTTAAAAATAAAACCTTTTAAGCCCAATAAATAAGATTGGGCAAAACCTTGGGCCAAATTTTAAAAAATTAACTGGGCTTGGTTGGGTCTGGTTCGACCCATAGACAGCAGATGGGTCATACCAGTCCAACCCAAACCAAGCCCATCCACATCCCCATTCTCCCTACAATCTTCCAACGTCTATATTGCCCTGAAAATTTTAAATTTCAAAATCAGAAACGCTTCAATTTTCTTCCTTCCAAATTCGTCTCTCTTTCCTTCTTCAATGGCGATGGCGACCCCAACTCCAACAAAAACCCCGGTAGACAAATCCAAAAGATCCCATTCTCACCACCATTCACATGAGTCTTCCTCCTCTTCTCTGTCCCGTTTCGAGGCCTACAACCGCCTCCAAGCAGCCGCGGTGGCCTTCGGAGAGAAGCTTCCGATCCCGGAGATCGTTGCCCTCGGTGGTCAATCTGATGGAAAAAGCTCTCTCCTTGAAGCTTTACTTGGATTTCGTTTCAATGTGCGTGAAGTCGAGATGGGTACTCGTCGGCCTCTCATTTTGCAGATGGTTCATGACCCTTCTGCCCATGAGCCTCGTTGTCGCTTCCAGGTGGTTTTCCATTTCTTTTTCGAATGAATTTTTTCTATTAATTATTTGTTTGGTTTGGGTTTAATGGGTTTTAAGGATTTTTTGGGTTTTTTTCTTTTTAAAGTTTTATGCTGATGTTATTATTTGCTGAATCAGGCTTTTTTATTTGTTTATTTAATTTATAGGAAGTAAAAAAAAAAAAAAAAACTGAAACAAGGTTTTTATCTGAGTGTTTTTCATTGAATAAATGCTCTATTTCTAGAGTCTGCTATGTTTGCTCTTTCTCTTGTCATTGATACTAGTAATTGACAATTAAAACAGGAAGAAGATTCTGAAGAATATGGAAGTCCAGTTGTTTCAGCATCAACAGTTGCAGATATTATAAAGTCAAGAACAGAGGCACTTCTGAAAAAGACTAAAGCTTCAGTTACTTCTAAGCCAATTGTAATGAGAGCTGAATTTGCGCATTGTCCTAACCTCACCATCATTGATACCCCAGGTTTTGTTCTTAAGGTAGGTTGTCAATTCACATGAAAAAAAATCAGACATGGATTGTTTGAAATCTTGTAATATAATAATTTTCTTTATGAATCAAAATATATGGTTGGAAAATTTCTTGACAGGCAAAAAAGGGAGAACCAGAGAACACTCCTGAGGAAATTCTTTCCATGGTGAAGTCACTAGCTAGTCCTCCCCATCGTATTCTGTTGTTCCTTCAGCAGAGTAGCGTGGAATGGTGCTCATCGTTGTGGTTGGATTCAATTCGTGAAATTGATCCAACTTTTAGAAGAACAGTAATTGTGGTCTCCAAGTTTGATAACAGACTCAAGGTACAGATTTCTAGCTTTCCTTTTTGGTTTTGTCATCTATGAGATGTAACATTGAGCTAACACATGCACGCACACACTTAGACACTACATTGACATGTTACATTTAGCTTATTGGATTGACTGAATAGATATGCAGAACAATTTGGAGGTTAGAAATTCCTGAGAAAATAATTACAAGATATCAGATATTGAGGGATTGAAAAAATAAGTCTTGCTTGTTGCTTGATATAATCTGTCTCTGTGTGGATAACTTGATCCTGTATCTGAAATTGTGAGGAATTTAATTGTGATAATTCAATTAATGCAGGAGTTTAGTGACAGATGGGAAGTGGATCGTTACTTGGGTGCAAGTGGATATCTTGGAGAAAATACTCGGCCATTTTTCGTAGCATTGCCAAAGGACAGGAACACCATCTCAAATGATGAATTCCGAAGGCAAATATCGCAAGTGGATGCTGAAGTTTTACATCATCTGCATAATGGAATCAAGGGAGGTTATGATGAAGAAAAGTTCAGGCCCTATATTGGTTTTTGTTCTTTGAGGGAGTATTTAGAATCAGAACTTCAAAAGAGATACAAGGAAGCAGCTCCAGCAACTCTGGCATTGCTTGAGCAGCGATGCAGTGAAGTCAACATTGAGCTGGCAAGAATGGACTCCAAAATACAAGCAACTTCTGATGTTTCTCATCTCCGAAAATCAGCCATGATGCATGCAGCTTCTATCAGCAATCACGTGGTAAGACATCCCTCTCACGCAGCTTTTCATTTAGTGCAGACAAACAGTCTCATCATATGAGATTTTAGCTACTTGAAAAAAAAATCATTTGCACTTCTGGTAATGCATATAATCGTTTGGCAAATTGAACCACTCTCATTAGTGTTGTGTTCCAACTTTTGGGTAACATCATATTTTCCCTCATACTTCTGCAGTAAGGTTTAATACATAGCAGTTTCTCAATGTGAATTCATCAGGCCAGATTTGAGTTTTTGGAATTTAACTGTTGCTTCCGTCATAAAGCCTGTGGTTTGATCTAACAAGAAATTTATCCCACTGCTTTGTTTCTTAAGGGAGTTTTGATTGACGGAGCAGCAGATCCGGCCCCAGAGCAGTGGGGGAAAACAACAGAGGAGGAAAGATCAGAGAGTGGGATAGGGAATTGGCCAGGTGTTACTGTTGATATAAAACCTGCTAATGCTATTCTTCGTCTTTATGGCGGAGCTGCTTTTGAAAGGATACTGCATGAATTCCGCTGTGCTGCATATTCCATTGAATGTCCCCCAGTATCAAGAGAGAAGGTAGATATTTCAAATTTGAAATTTGCTCCAAGCATATTATGTTTGAGCATTTGATTTGATAACTGATGGATTGGTAAATATATTTATTTTCCTAAAACAGGTTGCAAATATCTTACTTGCACATGCTAGCCGAGGTGGGGGTAGAGGAGTAACAGAGGCTGCTGCAGAAATTGCACGTACTGCTGCACGGTCATGGTTTGCTCCTCTCCTTGATACAGCTTGTGATCGGCTTGCCTTTGTTTTGGGCAATCTTTTTGACATTGCTCTAGAGAGAAACCGCAGCTGGGAATCAGAATGTAAGAAGCTCTTGAAATTTCCTTTATTTTCATAATTGTAGTTGATAGCCATTTTTACTTCATTGACAGATATTTTAGCTATCATTTTGGAGAGTAATTATCTTCCAAGAGATGGTATCTACTGACACAAATATTAGTAATCCCACTCCTATGGATAAGTCCACGAACTGCATGGAGCATTTACCTCCCTTACCCAACTCCTCTCTGACCTTATGACATAAGGTTAGGGTGTATCCAGAAAGATTATCAGCTTTGTGGTCTTCATACATCTCATTAAGGAATATGCAATGGGAGAAAACTGATGATACTTGTTTGTTAAATCTATGATCAATTGGTAATTGTTGTAATATCAGCCTTTTCATTGACTACTTTGTGGGATTTGGAATGTTGATAGTTCCAAATTGATTGGCAAGCTATGTTTTAGTTAATAATTTACCTATTTATTTCTTTTGATTGCACAGATGGGAGGAAAACTGGAAACATGGATGGGTACGTTGGGTTTCATGCTGCTTTAAGGCATGCATACAATCGCTTTATAAAGGATTTGGCCAAACAGTGCAAGCAACTAGTTAGGCATCATCTTGATTCAGTTACAAGCCCATATTCTCAGGTTTGTTATGAGAATGTCTTTCAAGGAGGCTTTGGCTCAAGTGTAAGCTCACATTACAAATATAACCAAGCTTCAGCTGCTTCTTTTTGCCTCGAGCTATCTGATAGTGGGCAAGTATTGCGTGAGGAGACAATGAGAGATCAGGAGAACATACCTCCTGAAAAGAATGCACAGCAAACCACTCCAGGAAAAGGAACAGAAGCTAGAGAAGCTCCCCAAGAAAGCCAAATGACTGTGCCTGAGACTCCATCTCCGGACCAGCCATGTGATGTGGTATATCCTGTGGTAAAGAAGGAGCTTGGAAATTGCATTGAAGTTGGACCAAGAAAACGTATAGCAAGAATGACAGGCAACAGAAATACTGAACATCTGATGAAAGCTCACAATGGCAATAGTCTTTTATTTGGTAATGGTGATAGTGGTTCAAGATCAAGTTCAGCTTACTCTGAAATCTGCTCATCAGCAGCACAACATTTTGCACGTATTCGTGAAGTTCTTGTCGAACGCAGTGTGACATCAACTTTAAACTCTGGATTTTTAACCCCATGGTAAATCCTTTAATTTCTATTTTTATCATTATTTCATATAGCTAGTACATATACCTTAAGCTCAAAAGGATACAAAGGTAGGTAGTTTCCCTGAAACTTGATAATTCATAACAATTCTGTTGGTATATTAAGTGGTTTTTTCCTTGCACTCAAACTTTTTTCTCATCCTTCATTTCATGGTACATGAGAAACTGATTGATGATTGAAGTAAATAGTCATTCATATTACATTCGTTATTCTTCCTTTTCATTTTATCTAGGAAATGAGTACTCTCACGTCATATTATTGACTTCATTTCACTTCAGATAGGATTCTAATAAATGCTGCTAATTCTTTGCTTTATTTGGATAGCCGGGATAGGCTTGTGGTGGCACTTGGCTTGGACCTGTTTGCTGTGAATGATGAGAAATTCATGGACATGTTTGTTGCTCCTGGTGCCATTGATGTGCTGCAGAACGAACGACAATCTCTTCAAAAACGCCAGAAGATACTCCAATCTTGCTTAAACGAATTCAAGACTGTTGCTCGAGCACTTTGATCAACACGAGTTTCTCCATGAAACTGTGACCACTCCAATCTAAAACAATGTTGTTTCACATCTAGTGAAGAGAAGAAAAAAAACACTTCATTCATGTATTTCCTTTAATGCTGTTTGATAATGTAGCAAATTGTTTTTCTACGGTGGTTCAATTTTAAACAACAAAAGACAGGAAAGAACATATGCAAGCTTTACAGTTTAAGATACGATTTAAAATTTTAGTAAAAATTATAAATGAATTTAGAAAAATTAAAAAAAAATGTTGTGTTATTATATATTTATATGAATTTGATAAAATAATTTTTCATATTTTATATATATTTAATATGATATAAATATAATAAAAATATCCGAACAAATATACGAAATCTAATTTATCGATCAGGTAGCAACTAGGTAATGAAACAAGTACTTTTTCCTCACATTTTTCCCCGCTCAACAGTTGCTGGGCCAGTGGTCCATTGTCACCAAGCAAGTTGAGTGGATGCTAAGGGGAAGGTAGACAGATTACCATGGGCCATGGCTAACGGTATATTAATGAATCAATTGTCCACGAGTAGATACATTAATTCATAAGGTTGAATTTATATTTTATTATATTTTTAAAAATTATATTAATAATTTAAATTATATAAATTTTAAAAAATAATAATTTTAATTAATAAACAAAATTATCTTATTTTAATTTTTATATACATTAAATATAAAATAATATTTAATTTAATCTAATTTATAATATTATTTTATTTTATTTTATTTTATCATAATTTTATGCATTAAAACACATCCAGCATTTTTTATAGGAAAAATCCTTGATCTAAAATAACTTTAACAAAATAAGTTTTTGGCTTTTTACTAAAGATTCTTCGCTAGGATCCTTTAAACAAGCTTTTATGAACACTTTGGATTTATGTATCATAAAAAAACTGTAAAAATCCAAGGGAGATAAGTCATTAATTCAATTCTCTTTGGATTCATGTACCATAAAAAAAAAAATGTAAGATGTTCAATTTTTTAGATAGTGATAACTTATTTTGTTTCAATTCTTATTTTTTTAAAAATATACGTATCCGACATGTATTTAATAAACATGAGTACGAAATTCAACTCTTCAAATGTACGAATAGAAGCTCAGAAAAAAATTATTGTACTTTGTGTTGTATATATATGTCTGTTTCCAACACTTACCTTGAGTGAATAGCATGGATGAACTTACCAATTGAACCGTCTTCTCTTGTCGTAAATTCATCCTTTAATTTTCTATTTACAGATTCTCTTCTTTTACCATAAGAGGGGGAAAATGGTGGGGTTGGCTACTAGGTTATGTTGGGTTCAAATTTCAACTAATGATTAAAAAAATTTGATGGATAAAACAGAAAAAACAAATTGTAAAGTATAGCCCACTTAAATGGAATTTCAAATAGTATGATGGCTTAGATGTTATTCATGATGACTATTATTACTTTTTTTTTTTACGATTTTAAAATTAAAATTTTAATATTTTATCAATAAATTATATAATTTTTATGAATATTTTATCAACAAAACATATAATTTTTGTGAATGATTAAAAATTTTTTTATAAATATTTTATCAACAGATCATACGATTTTTATGGATAATTAAAATTTTTTCCTTTATAAGAGAAACACAAAAACAAACATAAAAATAAAGAAAGACAGATATAGTGAAACTATTCATGAGCCTTATAACATGAATTATATCTGGTCCCCTTCCTCTTTTGTCTCCCATGGTAGAGACCTTTTCCAACAAGACAAAATTTTTTTTAAGTTGGTTTTTACAAGGTTATCCCTATTCTAATTCCTATCATCATATAATTCAAAGGTCTCATAATCAAATTTTGAGTTGAATAAGTATGATTTATAGGATGATTAAATATTACTTTCTAATATTCCTACCATATAATTCAAAATCTCATTCCCCAACATAATAATAAATTTAGAATTTCCTATGAACTTTCTGAAAATATAGACTCTCATCTTGAGAGATTTTATGCTTAATATGATTTGAAGAGGAAATTGTATTTTTTTTTTTAATAGTGAAACCAAAATTACTCCCTTCATCCCATAAATTAAAGTTCTATAAAAGTATATTTGAAAATCTCTTCATTTAAGGTGTTTGGGATTTTTTTTTTCATATTTTACTTAGTAATGTATTTAAAATGAAATGAAATCAAATAAAAAATCAAAGGAAATTATTTATGGGGAGAGGGAGTATATTATGTTTAACTCATGCCATTGTTGAAAGCAACTACCCAACAATTGGTATAGGAAACGGCTTTCTTTGCCAAATACTTAGACTTCCATTTTATGGATTGTGGAAAAAATTGGCTACCTCTTCAACTACTTTACTAGTGCAAATTAGGTTAACAAGACTAACTTAAGATTGAATCAAACTCCTAGATGAAGTACTTCAACTAATCATTTGTCAACATTTCGGGTGCATGTTCTTGTTTTTCCAATAATCAGGTACTCCAAAAATTTGAAGAAACCTTCATCCAGTTCTTAAGAATTCACCCTCAATACCCTTTCATCCATTCGTTCATCATTTTTAAATCATTCAATTTCTCAATTTTGGATGTAATTGAAAAAAAAACTCCATACTTGAATAGGCATAATTAGAAGGAGGCAATTACTTCTTGATAATCCAAAAAAAAAAAAAAAAACACTTCCATCTCCTACTCTTTTAACCCAAAAATTTTCCTTTTTACTCCACTTAATTAACAATTAGTTTATTGATCACTTGTGATTATTGTAAGAGAAATGATATATACTTGCAAGCTGGACCAAATATGCAACACGATTATTCAATTATTGAAAAAGAAGATGAAGTTGACTATATATTAATACAATATAAAAGTGTAATACGATGTGATTACTAATCAGATTACATCTCGAATATAATATGTGCGATTCTTAATACCAAAAATATGAAAGATGTAATCATGTCAATCATTGAGCAAGAGGAAATTTATAAGAAGAAAAAAAAAATTTTTTTCGTTTTTTCTTAATATTTCCTCCATTTTGTTTTTTTTTTTTTTCCTGCTTTCTCAATAGGTTGATGGTAACCCATTATTGTCATTATCGAGAGTCATTAAAAGAGAGCAAAATGGTGGAGGGCCATTAAGCTTTGACTTACAACCATGCAAGCCATGGACAAATTCCCTTTCACTCAAACTTTTCCTTTTGTAATCAAGGGAAAGGATACAAAAGTCAAGGTCTCCCACATTCACCTTTCAATCAAAATGTTTTTTTTTTTTTTTTAATACAACCAACACACTCACCCACCATGAAACTTTCTTCCCTTTGTTCTCTTCAAACCCGATTTTTTCCTTCATCAAAATTTAAATTGTCTTTTCTTTCAATCTCCCATAATCATCAACATATTTTTCTTATAATTTTTAACTATGATATTAAATTCTCTTTTAATATTATCTTTTTGTCAATTATTTGCATTGAAATCTCACCCTTTACTTAGACTACAAATAGCACATCAGTTTCTAGATTATCAAATTAAGTGGGGTGCTTAAGAAAGTTTAATTACTTCTTCATTTCAACACGTGGTTTTGAGAGTTGTGATATACAAATTTCTACCCTCAAATTTGAATGCATTTATGTCTTAAATGTGTTTTGAATAGGAGTGTGTATAAGTCAGTTTCAACCGATTAGATTGATTAAAATTAACTAAGTTTGATTAAATCAATTCGATTAATTCGATTTTGATAATAATTGATTAAATTAAGAACTTTCCTTTCTAGTCATCTCAAACACCAATCTTGTTTGTATGCTCCGAAATGGATTGAACTTTGACATAACTTTCTATTTTTAGTTATTAAAAACCATATATAATTATATTGAAGTCAAATGTTGTTTTTTTTTTTTTTTTAAATTAACTTGTTTAATAAAGTTAAAATATCTAATTTTGGACAAAGAATAATATTTTTTTTAATATAAGTAGAATCAGTTGACATTAGGTTACAAAATTAAAATGAATTCTCATCTTCCATCACATATATATAAACACTATAAGTAATTCATAAAGTTGAATTTGAAAATTTTTAAATTGAAATTTTACATTTTAATCATTAAGATATCCTTTAAAAATAAAAAGTGTAATACATGACATCATATATATAGTTTTTACATTGAAATTATATTTTGAAATAATTATAAAACACATTTAAACATTTGCCTCAATCATAGCTCAAAGTGTAGGTTTCAATACATACATATATATATATATATATATATATATAAAGAGAGAAAAGATTCATTTATACTAATGTAATTTTTACATTGTTTTGGATTGTTGGATCAAAATTATTAAATATAAAATTTATTTTAATTCAAATGAGTTATGAATTTAATTTTGATTCAAAAGTACAAAAAAATACGAGTTACACTAGTTTAAGTAAATCTTTACTCATATATATATATATATATATATATATATATACCTTCTTTAAAAAAAAAAAAGGAAACAAATTTGAAGTTTAATTTAATTGGTTTATGCATTCATTTCTAAAAGATAAATTTGTAAGTATAATCTTAAATATCAAGAATCATATGTGAATATTAAAATACCAAATTTAATTATATTATGTACCTATTTGAACAAACATAATTGATAAGCAAAAGTAATTGTAATTTTCTGAAAAGATTAGGTCTTTCTCTTTATTATTCTCTTACTGGTGACTCTCGATGAATAAATATCATTAATTAGAAGTGAAAATGTGACATTAGCCAATTTTTATTAAAACCCTAGAAAACATCCCAATAAAGGTTTACTAGGCCAAATGCCTATATAATCATCAAATCACACAATTCAATAAGATATGCAAAACTCACATATAAGTAATTACAATTAATTATTTAAATTCTCATACTTGTCTTGAAAATTAAATTTATCAACCTATTTTATTAAATTATAAAATCACTAATTAATAATAATCCACTTACTAAAAAATTCTAACAACATTCAATAGAATTAAAATTAAAATTTCAAGACATATAATTTATTCCGTCAATTATCTCTAAATTATGATTTTATTTTTTTATAAAAACAAAACTCAATATATATCTAGATTGCCAAAAGATGCCATTCATCATTAAACATATAAAAATAGGCATGTATGCTGCAAAATGAGACAA